GGACCCTCTGGCTCATAAAGGCTGATGGCGGGCGGCTGTCATTTAAACGGAGGCTATGCCTTTGTCACACTCTGAGCTCATCCTTTGGAAAAGACAGAAGAGACTGATCTTTTGTTCTAATGAAGGTCACATCGGCGTAGAGGGACCAGAGGGAGATTGGTTCCCATGCAGCTTCAGCTCTGATTTGCCCGCCCTCCTGTGTGTCTGCCGTCTATTAGCATTTTCACATCCATCCTCAAATCTCATTGTTCTAGAGACTTCAGAAGGCTGGAGAGGGAGGGAGCAAGATGCAGAGGAGAGATCTGGGTTACTATCTAACTACAGGAGGTTTGGTTTTCCAGTTATCCTCTTGTTTTGATATTAACTTAATTATACATGACCTGCGATGCTAATTTCTTAAAATGTATTAGGACTTGCATTAGGTCCTTCTACATGATAATTTCTGGAAATTTTTCTGTGCTTGAAAATAATGTGTCAGGTACAGGATTCCATCTATACTGTTTGTTGTTCAGTTGGTTGTCTTTGTGTCTTGAGGGTTTGTGTGTTTTGTAATTTTGGATTATGAGCTCATGTTTACAAGGGTTTTATCTGTAAGAATCCTGTGTGGCCTTTACTGTGGGACTGTTCCTCCAGAGAGGCTTGAATCTGTTACTGCCACATGCTATGTGGGTGCTTTTTATATTAATTTCCGGACATGGGAGTTCTGAGACCATGTGGGTAATGAAAACTCTAAGCTTAGATTTGTGTTAGGGAAAGTGTAGAGTTATAGTTTCCTAAATGAGACTTTATTTTGATTTTCCAAGAGAGCCAAAAAATTAGACACACAACTTCTTTGTGTGTCCTCTTTTTGTAAAAGGGCGATTTTTCTCTCATTTGCTCTTTCATTGAGGATGTGGGTCCACCTTTACTCAGGTGTCTTAGTTCCAAATCTCTCTTGGCAAGGTCCTGAGGCCTTGTCTCCCAGCCCTATATAAATGTAAAATCCAAATTTCTTGGTTCCCAAGATCAGCAAAGGCCAACACCTCCCTGTTCTTGTCCCAGTGCCACCGACAGACCCACCCAGCCGAAGGGTCAGCATCTGCTTGTCACTCCAGTTTTCGCTTTCCCTTTGTTTGTAGTCCCTGGGGATTTCTTTACTATCTTGGAAGCTCAGCTGGGTGTTTAAAATAGATCTGCTATGTTTTATCTAGTGTCTCTAAGGATTGTGTGGCTCTTTAGAAGCTTCCATCCACCATGCCTGAGACCTGGGTTCCCCTCCTTCTGCCTCCGAGTGACCTTGGGAAGCCCACTGCCCAGGGCATATCTAGTCCCTGCCCTGCCGCCTCATCTGTCTGATGGGGTTGATTGTCCCCCAGCCACCTGACTCACAACCTCATCCAGAAATGGTATGAGACTGGGAGGGTGGGCAGGGGCTGGATATCCCAGTGGCCTCTGGAGCTAAGTACCTATGTCCCTAGTGGGGACAGGGTGTCTGGTGACCAGTCTTCTCAGAGCTGAGGTGTACCTGGGGACAAAGGCTCTTTAATAAAGGGACAGATTTCTCCAGCAATGCCTGAGTAGATGGGAACTTGCTCCAAGCCTCAAATCTATGGGTGAAAATCCTTCCTGATTCACACTCCACATGTCCCAAACCGCTTATCTTCCTCCCAAGCTGACTCCTCTGCCAGGCGCCCCAGCCTGTGAGTAGCACTAACACCCTCTCCTGTGCCTACGTCAGACCCCCAGGATGTTTTCAGAGGGTCTCTCTCACAGACAAAGCCGACCACCAAATCCTCAGTTTTCTAACTCTCTCGCTCTGGTCACTTCCTGTCATCCCCACTGCCTCGGCCCAGGCCTTGACTGGCTCACCAGAATTATTTCAAGTCAGAGCTCTTCATATCTCCTCTGACTCAGATGCTCAGATGCAGGTAGGGGGTGGGGGGCACCTGCTACTTCCTCCACGTCCCCACTGCGGTGATCAGGCGTCCTCGTGCTCCCTCAGCCTCTCAGGGCCAGAAGCCTTTTAATTAATTCATTTATTTAAATTTATGGCTGACAGTATTACAGACGTGCCCCATTCCCCCGCCCCACCCCACGCCTTCCCCACAGGCCTTTTGGAGGAGTGAACTCGGGAGCCAGCGGCCTCAACAAGGGAGGGTGCGTGATGGGCACACTGGCTTGTGATCTGGCTTGAGGGGGGGCTCGGCACTTTGATGCCAACACTCTGATCCCCCTTTTCACTTCAGGCACAGCTTGACAAGGACAGAACTTTCAGCTTCTAAAAAATGACCAAGTAAATTTGCAAAATTGTCCTTCTCACCCCATCCCAACCCCTGTTCGTTGCCTGCCCCACTCGTGAGCTTCGCCCTACAGCTGACCTGTACCTTGGCGAGGCCCAGGAATAGGGTGAGGTGAGGGTTGGCGACCTCGGCAGGTACCCCGGACAGATGAACCGGAGACACCAGCAGCAGCTGCGTGTACCCCACCAACTCATCTCAGATGGGGGTGGGCTCTCTGAGCCGAGTTGCGGGATCATGCAAGGCCCTCCTCACAAATCCCCCCCTCCCCGCTCACAAAGCTGCCACGGTCACACTCCACCCACACGTAACAACAGATGTAGCTGTTTAGTAAGTAATGGCCTGCCTTGTGGTAAGGGACCGTAGTGACTAACCTCAGGGCACACTCGCCTGACAAGGGCAGGCGATCACGGGGTTTGGGGGCAGAGAGGGGCCTGGTGAGAAGCCCCGAAGCCCCGCCCGCTGCCGATCAGTGCCCTCCGGCACATGAACTGGTCACCTCACCTCTCTGGCCCGCCCCATGACACTGGCTCACCACTCCAGGCCTCACTGGGCCCTGGTGGGGGTTGGGGGGGCGGGGGGACCAACGGGGGTGAGGAGAGACCAAAGTGCTCCCTGCTGCTTGGAATGTAGTAGGTGTACTGACAACTCGTGTTTTTTAAAATAAGTACCAAATGAGGGTTTGTGGAGAACAGGGCTGGGCAAGATGACAAGGCGGAGGCAAGGGAGGGGCGACCTGGAGCAGGTGCCATGGAGACGGGCCTGCCCTTCCAGCTGGACTCCACCCCCTCACCCACCTTCCCATCGACTTGCCCTCAGATTCTGCAGCCCCTGTACCTAGGACCAGTCACAGACAGGGACATGCTCCTACTTGTCCTGCTGGCAACTCAGGGACAGGGAGGGGCCAGACCACAGGTCAGTGAGGGGGACAGCCTGAAGGCGGTGGGAGAACACCTGGAGAGAACGCATGGGGGCAGGCGGAGAGGACACCCAGGCAGGCTGCCGGGCTAAGGGCTTGGGACGTGATCCTGAGGGTCACAGGCTCTCTAAAGGTTTGAGGCAGGGCACTGGTGTGGGAGACAGGGCTGGTGCAGGAAGCTGGAGCCCGGCAGACCCGGGAGGCTGGACCTGGCAGGGAGAGGTTAGACATGGGGAATGTAAGGCTAAGGGGGTGAGGTGGTAAGGGAGGGGAGGGCTAGAGGGGGACACCTGATCGGGGCCTGACAAATGGGCAGCCATGGATAGAGAGGTACAGCTCATGGGCAGAGCACAGGCCCTCGAGGAAGGGACGGGAGTTTGCCTGGGGTGCTGCTTTTGACCTGTTGGCATCCTGCGGGGGAGAGCTGAGCAAGGCTGTGTGTCTAATTGGAGAAGGCGCCCAAGTGCCCAGAAAACACGTTTCTCCAAACCTGAAGCAGCTCCTTATCAAAACAGCCAAACTGTGGAACCACTGGCAAGGGCTGTTCTCAGGCTCTGTGGTGACACGCCTGCCAGGGACCCAGCCCTACAGCACCCCCTCTGTGGGTGACGTGACTCCAGCTGGGGGGCAGGCAGTGGCAGGACCCTGCCCTCCCAAGTGCCTGCCTGGTAGGTATTCTCCAGGCTCCGGGAAGTGGCAGGCCCCTCAGTTCCACCTGTGACGGGCACTGACCGCCAGCTCAGCTCACCTACGGGCTGAGGCACAGGGAGTGCGGGAGGTGGGGAGCCTGGGAGGGGGCTGGAGTGCTGGCTGCCAGAGCTGGGGGGCAGCGCCCCCCCCCAGCAGGAGAGGTAGCCTAACACTTTCTACAGGCCAGTCACAGTGGAAGAAATGAGACAAACACCCCCACACCTGCGGGGCTAGACTTCAGCTTCGGAATGTGACAATTTATTTGGGGAGCAAAAGAGGCTTTTCACTCCTGCTTCCTGGCATTGATACAATATCGAAGAGCAGCAGAACAAACGTACAAGACGAGAGTCATAGGCTACCT